TGCAAGATGGCGCTACAAGGATGTGGTAGAAACTTTATGGCCTAGTGAAATGTCTTCCAGTCATTGGAGGTGTGACCTTGAAAGTAATAATACAGTACCCCTTCCTCACTCTTTTTCCAGGTGTAGCCATGAAACAAGGTCTTCTGCTGCCATGCATTCCCATTGTGAACTGTCACTAGAGGTCACAAATCAGTGACGCCAACCAACAGTGGTTATAAATTTCAAGGTTATAAATTAAAATCAGTTTTTCCTCTTTTCAAGTTGATTGATTATAATATTTTTGTGACAGCAACAGAAAGCTGATGAACACATCGCCCCTACATTAGCTAGGGAACAATTGCTTTTTCTGTACCAGGGGGGAACCTACTCTCACTTTTAGAGGAGCTAATTCTCTCTTTCCTACCTCTTAGTAAAAGCAATGCTGTGCTTTATTTTTAGCACTCCTACTAAAGTTTTGATTGTTTCCCTTAATCCCCACTTCAGTACACAAAGATTCATTGTCCTTTGGCCCTTAAAAGGGTCTAGCATAGTGCCATTCAGTACCTACTTCGTAAATGACTCATGATTTCCCACAGTTTGAGCACACCTACTCTTAGAAGTGTTCTCTCCAGGCTTAAGCCTTGCCCTCCTTTGTCTCCAGGCTTCAGTTTTGATCTTTTATTCAACCCCCTCATGACAGTGAAATCTTAAATTTTATATTTGGTGATATTTAGTATAGAGACCTTAGAAGAAGATCTTAAATCAGAGGCCTCTAATGCAAAGCAGATATAAATTTTTGGCAGTTAAGAAAATGATTTTGCCAAAACCGATGAAAAAACAAAGAGCAAATATTCCCTCTGACTCAACATCAGCCAGAACGTTCTTGGGGGGGGGGGAATAAATGTTCCTATGTCATCGTCATTTGATCTGCACCAATTTTAATAGTCTGTTTATTGATCTCATTAAAGGTACATATACTTCTAAACAAAATAAATGGATTTGTTGTCATGAAATGTTCGTATATGGATATAGTATTTATCGTTGGAGGACTGACAAATAACCTAAAAGGTTTTAAAAGGATCTTAAGGAAAATTAAAATGAATCTAAGTTTTATAAATGTTAAGAATACTTTATAAGGAACATAGAGATTGATCAGTTATATCACTGGCCAAATCTGAATATTAACCTCATGCCAATGCATTAGCTCATCAAAGAGCAGGCAGCTTATTGGGTTGGATTTCTTTTTTGCAGTTGTAGTGAATGAACATATGGCTTTTCACATGTTATTAAAGTCCTCTGTCACTGAGATACATCCTCAGCCATTTTTCCTGGGTCTGGTGTTTGCGTGTGTGCACATGTGTGTTGGGGGTACAGTCACTCATGGGCATGTGTGGAAACCAGAGATTGACATTCAGATGCTTTTCTCAATAATTTCTTCATCTTATATTTTGATACAGTCTCTTCCCTGAATTTGGCGATCCACAATTCGGCTAGAGTCACTGTACAGTTATCCTCTTCCTCTTTTCATGGTCTGCCTATTTCTACACCCACCACACCGGGGTTACAGCCATATACTGCAATGTATGCAGTTTCTCAGGGTCTAAACTCAGATCCACATGTGCTTCAGAACTGAACTACAGAGCATTAGACTTGTCCCACCCCCACCCCTGCAAACACACTTATAGAAAAGTTTGGCTTGGGTAGGTCATGCACTCTGTCAGAGATGCATCAGCAACAGCCCCCAAAGTCAGCACATTTCACAGTGTAAGTGGGGAGGCATGTAAAGGATCTCAGTAGGGCATCTCTGTAAGAGAGCAGTGTCAAGCTGGAGTCATCCCAGAGAACAATAGTTTCAGCATAAAATGTCAACATTCACACTTGCACCAGGGGAAATCTTTGCCGTTCCTCTAAGCCTTTATCTAGCCTAAGGATGCCTTTACCATTTCATGGGTCTGAGGCATCGGAGTCCTTGACATGCTTATGTTCATCTTAATAATACAATTCACTCAGGACTGAATACACTCCCAACATTCGTGCTTACATAGGCAGCACTTTTCTGGCTGATCCTCCATTTCGCTCATTTAAGAACAGTTTTACTAAGTTGTCCAGGATGGTCTCGAAGTTGCAGCCCTCCTGCCTCAGCATCTTCAATAACTGAGACTGGCCAGTTTATGTTAGATTTACAGATTATCTTTAGATAATTACCTTTATTTAATTTTATTGCTGCTGTGATTTTTAAAAAGAAAACCACCATGACACAAACAACTTAAAAATTCACTTTGGATTAAAATTCTTGAGGTATGCATTCCATTGTGGTGGGGAAAACATAGAAGCAGGCAGGGAAGGAATGGTGATTGGAACATGAGACTGGATGGTCACGCTGCATCCATACTCAGGAAGAAGCGAGTGAATAAGAAGTAGGACAAGATTACTAAAGCTCCAGGCCTCCCAGTCACTTGCTTCTTCTAGTGAGGTGCTAGTTCTAAGCATTCCACCACTTCCTCAAATAAGATACAAGCTGGGACAGTGTCACAGAAACCTAGAGCAGACATTTTGCATTCAAATCACAACAGTGACTTTAACATTTTGCCAGGCAAGTGTACGTGCATGTGAGCGTGCGTGTATGTGTGTGTGTGTTGTGCTCCATTAAAATATTGTATTTATTATTACAGAATTTTCCAACTTTCACATATACTTGGTGGAGGATTTTACTGAGTCTGAATAAAAGGGAAATGAGGAAAAATAGTATGTGGACAATTTTAAAATCAGGGTAGTTTCCTCCTTGTGTGAATTCAGTTTGCACAAATTTAGTTATCTGTGAAAAATATTAAGTAGAAATATTAATAATTAATAAGTTTTAAATTACATACTATTCTGAGTGCCGTGCTAAAATTGCATACCATATTGCCTCATCTTTCTGCAATATGAAGCACCCAGACTATCAATGCCGTATTTACTACCTGCCTATTAATCCTCTAGCCACCTCCGTTCTAGGATCAACTGTTGTAGTATCACAGTGCTTGGGTTCAAGTAACTTGTCTATAGTAGCCTAATTCAAACATCACTCGCCTTATGTAATCTCAATATGTAGGCATTTTGTCATCTGATATGGTCACAAGAATAAGAAGGTTGGTGAGCTGGGGAGAACACTTAGTTGATAAAGTGCTTGCCTTGCAAACACAAAGACCTGAATTTAATTCCCAGAAGTCATATTTAAAAAGGCATGCACGATGACATACACTTGTAGTCCCTGTGCCTAGGAGGCAGAGACAGCTTCATTTCTAAGTCTCGTTGTCAGTCAGCCTAGCCTATTTAGCAAGTTCTAGGCAGTGAGCACCCCTTTCCAAAAAGTTACATGATGGCTGAGGAATAACATTCGGGATTGTCCTCTGACTTCCACACACATGTGCACATATGTTAACTTGGATACACATAAACACACGCAGGTATGCATACACACATAAAACTAAAAGTAAGTCTGAATAGAGTATAAGGTGCTCTATGAGAGAAACCATAATCATATAATTTATTATAGCATACTGTTATGAGAGGTTTTTTATTACTAGGTTATAGTAGTTAAATCTTACTGTGCCTAATTTATAAATTAAACTTTATCATATGTATCACAGGGATATATTTAAATTAGGATTTATATGAAAAATGTAGTGTCTATAGGGTTTGATATTATCCATGACTTCAGGCATCAACCACTGCATGTCCTCATGTAAAGGGCCTGCTCACATAAAGGAGTCTTACTGTAATCCCACAGGGGTATTTCAAGAACATTCTGAAAAACACCAAAGAAAATGTGAAGGAAATGATATGTTCCTTGTATGGGTCTGATGATTTTTCGCATGTGTTATTGGCATCCTAGGCAATGCCTGCTCAGCCCAGTTTACCAAAGAATGGGATTTAAAACTGAGACCTCAGTACTCAGCAAAAAAAGGGGGGTGGGTAGTTGGTGACCATAGATAAGGCAGATTTTTTTCTAATTTTAGCAAAGATAACACTGAAACATGAAATTTGGGGGAAATAGTTCAACCTAAGTGAAATATCAGTTATAATGCATACATTCATTATTATATAGCAAGCTTTCTACTACTATTATAATCCACATGCCAAGAAACTAGGCTGGAATTAGCACTACACAAACACTTCCTTGACATTTGACTGTCCCTTGCAACTGGCATGGCAACACTAAGTAGACTCAGTGTGTTGTTTTTTTAGAAAGAAAGAAAGAAAGAAAGAAAGAAAGAAAGAAAGAAAGAAAAGAGTACATAATGTTGGAACGGAATGTGGTGGTAGAGTATGGGAGGACAATAGATGGTAAGGATTTGATCAAAATATGTATGTGTATATATATATATATATATATATATATATATATATAAACATGACATTTTAAAATGACAAATGGAAAGGAAGAAAAATCATAATCAGTATATTTATTTTTCTAAAAGCTTCACCCTTCTCTGTACAGTGCCATAACTTTCCTCTCTAACCACCTTTTTAATACATAATGCAGAGGAAAGTCTTCAGTCTTATTCATCAGAAATATTACATATAAATATAATTTCTTGAAAATAATGCTAATACCTTCCAAGTCAATTATTTCCTAATGCAACCATGCAGATAAGCAGTGGCCTGAGTATCAACATCATTAAAAACTGTGACAAACACTACCTCCTCTGATTTTCCCTATTTCATCTCAAAAATACTTTCTGACTTCATGTAGAGGTAAGCAAACAGCAGAAGAGCACTGGTATAAAGGTGGATAAAACAGAAACAACTAAACCCAGCTTTATCTGTGTATGTTACTGTATGTCATTTCTCTTCCAAACACTGCAAAAATGAGTATGTCTCCAACCCTCGTCTCCCATTTCTGTCCTGTCTCTGCCAAGCAGAACTAAATCTGTGTGTCTTTGCAATGCCTTTCCATTTCCATGACTCTTTCAAGATACTGAACTTAGCAGAAATGTGGTCCACTAGATTATTATTGCTAATTTACTTTTTCCCAACAGGCATCACAGTTGATAAGAATGGATTTATTTACTTTGTGGACGGGACTATGATCCGAAGAATTGATGAGAATGCTGTGATCACAACTGTAATTGGCTCAAACGGTCTGACTTCCACACAGCCATTGAGCTGTGACTCAGGAATGGACATCACTCAGGTAGGCACTGCTGGTTTTCAAGCATTATCACCATTTAGCATCGTGGAAAAGGATAACAATTTTCTCATGCAGAAATTACATAAAAAGGAAGCCTGGTGCATCTGCTATAATGTCAGATAGCAGAATCTTCTTTTTATGTAAGTTACTTTTTTTCCTCCTCAGAAAGCTTTAGGCTAAATGGTGAGTTAGGATAGGAGAATACTAAGAAGAATATTGATATAACAATGCCACCTAAATTTTGAACCAGTTAAAATTGGATTTGTTCACTATTTCCTAAAATATATGACGTTACTGTTTTTAAAATTAATATATTTCACTATTTATATATTGAGGAGTAGAGAGGTGGACATGCATGTTGAGGCTAACTGACACTTGCAAAAATTGCTCCTCTCCTTCCAAGTGAATACTGGGAAACAAGCTCATGTCACCAAGCCTGGTAGCAAGTGTCTTTCCTCGCTGATCTATTCTGCCAGCTGAATTTTATCATTTTTTGTGTGTCCAACAACAAATGAACTTTAGCAAAGAGGTGGTGATAAAGGTCGTTAGAAACCTCTTTAGTAAATAGTGAGTGTGCCATGTTATTCTCATGCATGAAAACAACTATTCCTGAGATGTTTTGCTTATCTTAAATAAAAGCAACACCATTCTCAAATTTGTTTTATACATATTTAGCAAGACTCTGCGAGACTGACCTCATGTTCAGGAGTGTTTGTGAAATACAAATCAAACCCTGTGGATTTTTAGTGGTTTTTAATGTGCCAGAGAGAGTGTATGTGCGAATATGGGGTATAGGTGGGTAGAAAGTAGGGAGGATTTGGGAGGAATTGGGGAATGAGAAACAACATGATAAAATATACTGTACTAAATTCTCAAAGAATAAATAAAACATTTCTTAAAAAAGAAACCTTCCCACCAGAGAATAAGGAGGAAAAAAGTAGTGTAGCGTTCATCTGGACCCAAAATTCTGATCTTGACATTCTTCTACCAAATCAGTAAATGGTATGGAGAGAGATTTTAGAAGATACAACATGGTTCCAGCACTGTTCAGTTGCTATTTTTAATCTGTATACACAAAAGCTTGGTGGATATAATAAGGGAAGTAGTCAGGCAATCCTTGAAGGAGCTTTATGTTCTAACATTTTACAAATGTGTAGCTCTGATGATGGAATATTTTCAAAGTAATTAGAGTAATATTGAGAATTTCAACAATGATCACGGAGGATTGTTTCAGCTGAGAGTAACAAAACACTTGTCTAACAGTGTTTTAAACAATAAGGTTTAATGATCTCATATTGTGAAATGTCCCAAAATAAACATGGATGCCAATAGACTTCTTTCATCAGTCACATTGTCCAGCACTGAGTAGTATAATTGAATGCCTTTACTTGTTAGCAAAAGAGAAATGGAATTTTCTAAATGGATTGAGACCCTCTGGAAATGCATTGTTTTCCTTGAACATATTGCTACCTGAACTTCAAATGGAAATTGGGATTCCTTTAGAAAGAAATGTAGACTTGCTAGTGCATAGGCAACTGGTGCCATAATTTATTATTAGAATCTCCCAGTAGCTTCATTTTTATTGCATCTGAATCTGAGGATAACAAGGAAAATTAAAATAACACATTATCCAATGCTTCTTTAATCATTAGTTCTAACACCACTTCCCACCTCCATTAGTGTTCAGTAAAATGCTAAAGATGTACCTATTTGAGCTCTCTCTTTTTCTGTCTCTGCTTCACTCCAGAAATTGAAACCATCTGAGTCAAGTACAAAAATAAAATGAAGAGTGGGAAAGCCTGAAAAATGGAGAAAATTAACAAACTTTTTATTAGATATCTGATTAGATCAGACATTCAAGTTCTAGAATATTTTAAGTTTTCTGTGATTCAAGACCATTCAGGAGCCAAAGAAAAGGAGCATTATTTATGGAAATGTGGAAGGGTGTGAATATGTTTACATAGGGGGGAGGGAGAAAAGATGCATATATATGATTCACTTGTGGGGTATTTTTAGCTTAAAATAGAACACTTAGTACTGTGATCAGTCAACTCTAAACAACCGATGTAATTCTGTAGAAAAGTTATTTGGAAAAGAGAGCTCTTTGTCTCAGTAGAGGGAACATATAAAGTTCAGCACCATAAGAGGGATTCTTTTTCACATGACACTTTTCAACCATAATTGATACTATAATAGCTCCCTTACCACTTTCTGTTTTGGACTTAAAGTAGGCTCTGTGCTCACTCAGCAGATACAGTTGGGGTGAAAATGGTATAAATGACTGTGTAGAGATGAAGCACAGAAAGTAACTAAGGGTGGAATGGTGGAGGAACTTATAAGCATAATGGAATTTGCATTTCATCCAGTGAAAAGTGGAAAGAAGGAAAGGAAGAAAGGAAGGAAGGAGGGAAGGAAGGAATGAAGGAAGGAAGGAACGAAGGAAGGAAGGAACGAAGGAAGGAAGGAGGGAGGGAGGGAGGGAGGGAGGAAGGAAGGAACGAAGGAACAAAGGAAGGAAGAAAGGAAGGGTTCAGTTTGGGGCATGCTTGAGTCTGAGACACCTGTATATAGAATCTAGCCCAGTAGTTCTCAACCTGTGAGTTGCTACCCTTTAGGAGTCACCTAAGACCACTAGAAAACACGGATGATTCATAATAGTAGCAAAATTACAGTTATGAAGTAGCAATGAAAATAAGTTTATGTGTGAAGGCCACCACAACATGAGGAACTGTATTAAATGGTTGTAGCATTATGAAGGTTGAAAACCACTGACCTAGAGAAAGAGGTCTGGAAGAGAATCGAACTTGAGTCTAAAGCTACAGGATAGTGTCTTACTGTTCTATTGAAGAAGAGACATCATGACCAATGCAGCTTATAGAAGAAAGCATCTTATTGGGAGCTTGCTTGTAATTTCAGAGGGTTAGACCATAATTGTCATGGTGGAGAGCATGGCAGCATGCAGGCAGACTTCAGCAGTAGAATGTATTGTACAAAGAAGACTAAGAAGAAAAGATCAAGCAATATAAAAATCAAAAAAGTATAAGAAAAAGAACCCAAGGAAACAAGATTTTCAAGATCAGTATCTCAGGTTGAGTAGCTATTATGCAATAAAAGAAGGGTTTTTTGGTTTTGGTTTTTGTTTTAAACCATTCAATTTTATAATGTTAGTAACTTTGGTAACTGAGATGCTCATTGGCAAGAGCTGGAATGCTGTAGACAATGAAGAACAGAAATGAAAACAAATAATTCTTCCATAGGTTTGACTGAATAGAAGATGATAAGCTGATTTGAACAAGGGTTAGATTGGTGGGAGGCTTTGGCTTTGAAATATATCAGGTATGATTTATGCATTTTCTTAGGTATCAGGAAATCATCAAGTTATAAGAGAAATAACAATGAATGAAATTGAGTGGGTGAGTGGAGAGAGTGATTCCAGCAAGGACCATGTAGGTCCCACAGCTGCCGACATCCTTCATGATTATTTCCAGAGCTTCCTCTCTGCTTAGACAACTGTGACCCATGTTTCTCCTGCCTGTCCTTAAGAACACAGGCAGTCTTCACGTAGAAGGAAAATAACTGAGTAAGGAGCTTCATATCAGCTTCCAAGAGCAAAGGCTTAGCTGGTTTTAATAGTACTTTCAGTAATCTAGCTGGGCTTACACACTGTTCAGTTTAATATTTCAGTAAATCAAAATATATTGATGGATGAAGGCAGAGACAAACATCTAAACAATCCTGCTCAGTTTGTGCTACTAGAAATGTACAGAAGAGGGTGGAGCTGCAGCATGAATATTTGACTCAACCCGTTAAAAGAACTTACTGTTTCTAAGACTACAAGACAGCAGCATATATGACCAAATGATTTTATAGGGTTCCCACCTTTTGAAACTTTTTAAGCAAATGCTAGATAGAAGTCAGCCAGACCTTACAGTGTGAAAAAGATAAACCAGGTATTCACATAAAGATATTACTACAAAAATATAATCACACTGCTAAAGTTTTATCCACCCTGCATTTCAAAACCAACATGTGTATTTGGAGGCTGCTCATTCATTCCCGGATGCCCAGATCCTAAATAATCACACAGAAATTATATTATTACAATACTGCTTGGCCTATTAGCTCATACTTCTTATTGGCTAGTTCTTATATCTTAAATTAATCTATTTCTATTAATCTCTGTATCACCATGTGGTTGTGGCCAACTGGTAAGATTCCATCCAGTGTCCAGCATCTCTCTCCTGCTGAAACTACGTGGCTTCTCCCTAACTCCACCTACTCTCTCTTTCTCTATCTGCTTGGAATTCCCACCTCACCCTATTCTGCACTGCAATAGACTCAAAGCAACTTCTTTTTTAACCAATGGTATTTCACATACAGAGGGGAATTCCACATCAAACATGTCTCCAATAAGGCAAGTTCCATCCAAGCTATATAGTTAGAGAAATTATTCAATATAGGGTTCTTTTTCTGTTGCTTAGTCTTCAGTACTTTCTTGGAAAAATGGACCCTGAGGAATAAAGTCCTTAATGACAAGTCATACATAATACACTCTAGTAAAATTCTAAGAATAACTGCTACAATTTATTAAGAAATTTAATATTGCTTAATTTTCAATGTAAATGATAACTGTGGTATATAAGGATGCTTTTATGAAAGTATATATTTATATTGTACATATTCCCCAATACTCTCTGTGCTCCTCTTTTTACTCCTCTCCCTACCCTTTAGTCTTTGTTCCTCAACTTCACTACATTCCTTTATATATACATACATACATACATGATTTTATGCATCTATAGAAAGTATAGAAAACACATTTGTCTTTCTGATATTAGCCTAATTTGATAAATATGAGTATCTCCTATTTCATTCCTTTTGCTGCAAATGCCATAACTTCATTCTTCTTTATATACTGAAAATTTCCATTGTCTCTCTCTGTTTGTCTCTGTCTCTGCCTCTGTCTCTGTCTCTCTCTCTCCCTCTCTCTCTTTCTCTGTGTG